GTCGAGCCTGACTGTTTTGTTCAGTGGTTTCTGTAAGAGTGTGTGTGTGTGTGTGTGTGTGTGTGTGCCCACACACAGGGGTCCATGTGAGAAGACTTAAGAAGAGCAGAGTCAGCTGCATGGGGTGATGTTGCCCCTAGGGGTGAGAGATCTGGAGGGAGCTGGGCTTGGGGCAGAGTTTAGAGAAAGTGTAATAGGCTCTGTGTAGTGTCTGGAGGGAGAGGAGGAGTCTACGGAACCAGCAGTCAGAGAACACCTGGTCCCCACTAGTGAAAACTGTTTTCTGCACCAGGGATCCAGGAATCTTCCCTGAAGTTGTGATGCGTTCCTAGGACCTTAGAGAGCCCCTCCCTAAGGGAAAACAAACTGCTCTCTACTCACATATTGATCTCTGGGATATCTGCAACAAGAGACAGTCTTCTGTTTCGTACTGCATAGCAGCACCCACAATCCACATCCAAGTGGCTTAAGGAGCCGCATGCTGGGCTCTTGGGGTGGAGGAGCGAGTGGGGGAAGGGGGGGGGGAGGGGGCTTGGCAAGGTCTGGCCAAGTGGAGAAGTGGCCTGGAGCAGGAGGAGGCACCAGGATCCTAAGCGCTGGGGAGAAGCTGAGCTCAGCAGTATTGACAGAAGGCTGGGAGCAGATTTATCCTTTTGCCCTGACAAAGGACAGAGCCTTAGGCAGGGGATTAGGTCAGCCTGGGGGCAGGGGACGATTTTGTCAATGGGGGACTGTGATTTATGTAATGGGTTTATGTAATGTCATTATGTAACATCATTAGGGGCATCACAAATTGGATTCTGTTTCAGGCTTTGCAGAAGCCAGATGGGGCTTCCCTCCAGCCCTGTAAGACAGCTCCCACAGATTCAGAGCCCCCTTTTTTCTTGGGGTTTCTCCTCTTGAGGTTTCAGGAACCCTCACTCTGACTCCAGGCATCACTCCTGTGCCCTTCAGCATCAAAAGAGATGTTTCTGGGAAGTACTGGAAGTGTGCTTCAAGAGTCTTAATTAGAATTGGTCTTGGCTACAAATCATTCTTTTTTAAACAGCAACACAGAAAGGAAAGGCCATCAAATAGTGTAGAAGCTGGCTGCTTTTATGGCCTCTCTGAGACATTGTTACAATGTAATCAGGATTACTTTTCCAGACTTGGTTAACATTGTTTCAAAGCCCAACTCCATTGGAGCCTGCTACCTAAGTTCTGTCTGAAAGTGCCTTGAACATAAAACCGCTAAGGACTTCCAAGGACTGAGGGGCTTAAAATTTGTGGTTATAAAATTGGGCAGACATTAGTTTATGTCCTGCAGCCACCAGGTTCACTAATATGTGATTCTAGACAAGCTGTCCCTCTGAGGCCCTCAAAGCTGAGTCACTTTACCTGGCTGCTGTGATAAGCTCAGAAAGGACATTGTGCTTTGCCAAGAACAGAGGAGGGATGTAACAATGTGATACTGTGAGCAATTTTGTCTTCTATGTTATGCCTTTCCACTTTTCTTGTAACAGTGTATTATTTTTTACTATTGGAATAAAGATAAATATATTAAAAGAAGCTGCAGCTGGCATATGTAGGTGTGTTCATTATCTATTGCTGCGCAAAAATTTTGAGTTTAGTTACATAAAGGTTAGTGTCTGTAGGATGGGCAGGTCCAGGCATGGCTGGGGTGTTCTTCTCCCATCAGAGGTCAGCCATGCTGTGTTCTCAGCTGCAGGTGTGAGTGGGGAACAATCTGTCCTGCACTCACTTGAGCTGGCAGAATTCACTTCCTTACCGGTACAGCACTGAGGAATCTTGGCTTTTTAGTGGCTCTGTCAGAAGCCAGCCTCAAGTCATGGAGGTCACTGAGGTTCTCTGCCATGTGGGCTTTGCAATGTGGTGCTTACTTCACCAGGCCTGCAGGAAGCCTCTGCTCTCATGTCAGACAGAGCCTTTTATACTGGGACATGATGACAGCAGACACTTCCCGTCACTTGTTACATCCCATTGGTTAGAAGCCAAGTCAGTTTTGCTCACACTTGAGAGAGTGACTGATACACTTGGTGAAGATCAGGGGCTTGTGAGCATCCCCAGAGTCTTCCCTCCTTAATGGAACACAAATGCCAAAGTCCTGGACTCATGCTTTCTAAATCTAAAATGGAGATCCTCAGGGGCCGGATGTACAGGGGCCCTCTGTAAGGGAGCAGATGTATATGGTAGACAGAGCTTGCACACAGAGTACAGTGATCCCCGTCTGCCTGGGTGCCCTTGCACCAGCACCCCTGGGTGGCTGAGAGATGTGTGTGTGTGTGTGTGTGTGTGTAGTTGAGTGGAGGAGGGCAGGTCCACACAAGTAGCCTAACATGGAGTCAGGGGATGGATTATAACCAGCCTTTTTCTTCATCTTTAGCACTCAGGTTCACTAAGCAGAGTGAGGAAAAGCCTCTTCTGTGAGGGTTCTATAATATTCCGTGGAACAGAGCTCTCAGCCAAGGTGGAAAGGCCCAAAGTAAGAACCATGGTAACAAGAGAACAAAGAAATGAGACTCAAGAGTAGCTGGAAGGGTTTTTCAGGGAAAGGGTTTTGGGGAGGCTTGTGTCCAGTTTGGGGGATGCCACTCCCAGGAGGAGCTTGGGAAAGGGGTCACATGGGGTGGGTTCCCATAACCTTTGCCAGTCTAGACAGTGCTGATGACAAAACCCTCACTAGGCCATCTCTGTTCGCAGGAAGCAGTGACGTAAACACAGCCTCCTTTCCCAGGGGACACTGATTTTAATTGAGTGTCAGATGTAATCAAGTTTGTGGGGCTTTCAGCCAAGTAAGTGCAGCACCTCAGAGGCCTCAGGCCCAGAAAGAAAAGTTGGCTTCCTGGGAGGACAGGCCATGAAGCGGGTGGGGTGCACAGAAATCAGCCCCATGAAATCCTGGGAATCCTGCTGGGTTGCAGACTGTGGGGACCCAGCCGGGAAGTTTATCTTCTGTCAGCTCGGGAGGATTGATGAAACTGGATCAAAGGAGTTCTAAGGTACTGCACAAAGCAATCTCCTTCCTGGGGCCTCTGGAGATGTTGATGAACTTGCTTTCATCAGGAGCCACAGGTTCTGCTGAGCTAGGGAGAATGCCTGCTCCAGGCCTTACCAGTGGCATCTTCAGATTTTTAGTAAGTGAAATAATTATTTGCTTATCCAGCTCACCCTTGGTGTTTAGATTCAATTTATTAAACTTGTGCTACCCACTGCTGTAGTAGCTGGTGAGCAGGACTGGACAAAGGAAACACAAATCTTTGTCCTCAGAGATCTTACCTTTTATAGGAAACACAGAATAAGCAAAACAAATAAATAAAACAGTATCTTGTTAGCTAATGCTATGGAGGAAAGTAAAGTGGGATGCAGGGATATGGAAGGAGGATTATGGTGGTCACTGCAGTTTTAACAGAGTGGTCAAAGGAGAAGTTCAAGGGTGATGTAAGTTTCAGTGGCATTAGCGAGTAAAAAATAGCAAAGGTTTTTACAGATGGGCTTCTGTATATTTTATGTAAAACTTAAAAATGTCTCTTGTCCTTAGCAAAGAATAAGGATATCAAGGAATGGCTAAAAGGAATCTTATGGAAATTATAAGTTGCTTAAGCACCTTCAAATCTTGGCACTGCTACTTGGGTTCTGGAAAATTCATTAAGACTAATATTTAAGGCAGTGAACTAGCAATAGCCTAAGACTTACAGGATGTAGATAATAGTCCCCTCAGAAGCAATGACATACCAGTTGAAGCGTGCACATTCAACACTTGATTTCAGTTTCTGAATCCTGTTCCAACCAAAATGGAACAAACCTCAAAAGAGTCTTTACCGTCCACATTCCTATCAGCATTACGGTCTGCTGGGCTTAGAACTTTCATTATCTTCCACTTACATCACTCTAGGGCTTCTGTGGCCTGCATCTCCAAACTTTTCCAAACTCCTCCCACAAGCCAGTCCCAAAAGCTTCTGAACCACATGGTCAGGTAGTCCTATCAACAACCCTACTCCTGGTACCAGTTTTCTGTATTAGTTTTGTGTTGTTGGGACAAAATACCTGGAATACACAACTTAAAGGAGATGAGTTTATTTTGGCTGGTAGTTTCAGAGGTTTCGGTCCACAGCTGGATGGATGCTGAGGTAGAAAAATCACGGTGGAGAAAGCTGCTGAGCTCATGGCAGTTAGGAAGCAGAGAAAGGGAGAGTGAGGAAGAGCCAGAGAGGAAGGGGCCAGAGACAAGACATACCCTACAAAAATCATGCTTGCAGTGTCCTAGTTCCTCCAACTGGGCCCCCACCTCTAATAGACCATTCAATTATGAACTCAACAGTGAACTAATTGCTAAGTGGTTAACATCCTCAGTACATGAATCTTTAGGATGCACTGCACTTTTAAGCCATAACACTTCCTGACACAAAACAGTATGAAGGATTAATCATCTGTGTCATATTCTTGCTAAAAATGTTTAAACTGAATCCAATCATGAAGACATAATTAGATAAATCTAGACAATAAGACATTGTACAAGTGCTCTGACCTATCAAGAAATGTTAATGTTATGAACTAAAAAAGGGTAGGGAAAGGTTGCAGATTAAAAGTGGAAGAGATATGGTGCTCAAATGGAATGCATGATCCTTAGTTGGAACTTGAACAGAAATTATAAAGTGATTATTGGGACAATTGGGGAAATTTGAACATCCATTATGAGATGTGCAATGATAGATACATATATATGAAATTTCTCAGGAGTGTTAACAGTAGTATGTTTGTGTATAAAATGATGGCTCCTACGGTGTATGTGATTGCGTATTGCTCTTAGGAAGCATTTAGGAGTGAAGTGTCATGCTGCCTGCAATATATCTACAGGTAGTTCAGCAAATGAAAGATATCTATATATAAGGAAGAAAGGAGGGAGAGAGCAAAAGAAAGAAACTGGTCAACTATTAATTACTAAGGCATTATAGGTAAAGTGCATCTGTGTATATGCATACTTGTACTGTTTCACATTTTCTGTAGGTTTGAAGGAAAAAAATGATCAATTCTATCATTTGACATAATTTGTAGAATATAACTGTATAATTAATGGGAAAATTATTTGGGACAGCAATTTGACTTTCTCTATCTAGATCCCTAACCTGTATATAACTTGGTGAGCCTATTTCTGGGATTTCAAACTAGTAAGCAAGCCATGGGCATGGAGTTGCTCACTGTTAGCCAAATACCAAACCGTGCAAAGGTGCCTAAACTAAATACTGTGCCTCAGTTACACAGTGCATTGGTTGTCCAGTAATTAGAATTATATATTGAAACACCATAGGGTGTGGAAACTCAGAGAAGGCTAAGCTAACCATGGCAGCAGGAAGCAGCTGAGAATAAGGGACTTCGGGTCAGATCCAAGGTGTTGTTTTTGTTTTTGAGATAGGATCTCTCTGTGTATGTGGGCCTTGAACTCACTGTGCAGCCCAGGCGATCCTTCTGCCTTAGCCTCTTGAATATTGGGATTACAGGAGACATCACGCCTGGTATCAGACCTGGGTTTTAACCTGTGTCCTATTCCTGGATGTGCAACTTGGGACAAGTTGCTGAACTGCTCAGATGCTCAGGTTCTGAACCTGTTAAGTGGATGTAGTAAATTTTACCTAAGATTGCTGTGAGGAGTCAACACCTTCAAGATCCTTCCCACCTTTTCCTAGACATAGTGAGTGGTTAATAAACATGAGCCATCATTGTTGCTGTTAATACTTCTGACTGTGAGGTGGAGTTGGGAACCATGTTGGGCTTTGACAAATGCAACTGGATATTGGAGGGAGAATATTTCTGCCAGGAAAACAGCAAAGGGAGATGGTCTCAAGGATGTAGGAGGAGTCTGGGGCAGTTCAGGCTGGCCAGAGCCCCAGCTCTGCGGAAGAACCCAGTGAACCATCAGGCTGTTGGACCAAGTGGTGGACAGCAGGTGGGAGGCTCTGCATGTGAGGCCCAGGTATAGGCTTGACTCTGTGGCCAGTGGGGAGGATCTGAGGTATACTCTCCTGTCCTCACCTCTCAGCAAGGTAGCTGAAGGTCAGGCTCCACTCCAGGAAGAGGCACCTGGCAATACTAAGGTACATATGTGTCTCACACCTGATGACATACACAGGATGACTTCATTCACAAGACAGCGAGTGTCTTTGAAGCAAGTGGTCCTTAGAGCTGAGATGGGGGTGGTGCTTTGTGGCTTCTCAGTTTTCCTCTCAGCCCTTTTCCGCAGCCAGTTATATCTTTGATTTGTAATTTCCTCCCCTTTCCTGCAGATGGTTCAGAGGTGCTAGAACTGAGCTCTTTCTTCTGCCAGCTTTTTCCCTCTAAAATGGGTTCTTGCACTGGCTTTCCAGTGAACCAAGACCCTTCATGAGGGAACACTGAATCACAGGGAGTCGCAGGAAGTGAACTGCGGTCCCTGTTCTTCTCTATTCCAGCCTCCATCAGAGTCCTCAGAGTAGCCTGCTGACAGTGGAACTTGGGGAGCCCACTCACAGCTGAAGCAGGACCTTCCCGCTTTGCTGCTTCATGGGGGACCAGGACTTGGTCTGGCAGTGGAGCCCCAATGTGAGCTGGGTGAAGAGGAGGGAAGGTCTACACCCAGGTCAGCCAGTAGCAGCCTGTCCTTTGGGCACTTCCCAGGATGGAGGCTGGCAGACCTGGAGCCTTCTCTGTCCCCCACCCTCCCCATGCTCCTGGAACTCCAGAGTTCATAAAGGTCCTCCAGTTGCTCCCATTGAGTGGCCACATTTCCTCTCCAGGCCTCTCCTGGATAGGAGGTGGAGCTGGACATGGTACCAAGGACCTAAACTGCATATAGATTTCACACCAAAGTTTCTGTAAGGCTTCTCAGTGAACAGCTGTGGCAGCCATAGGACCTGGAGATCTACATCCTGCTCACATCACAGAGCTTTTTGGCATACATTTTATTCACATTCCAGAGTCATGAACTTCTACTGAACATAGTTTAAGGCCTGCCTGGTTCTGCACTGCCTAAACTGGGCTCAGTCCTGACTCTCACCTGTCACATGAGGCACAGGAGGAGGTAGCTGTGCCAGAGGATGAAGGGCCATGTCCAGCTGTGTTAGGTAGACTCCCAACCTCTGCTCAGAGGCGTGTGCCAAATGGCTGTGTGCTGGCCACAGAGCAAAGTTACTTTGCTGTGCCACATAGACATAATGCTGGGCCCAACACCTCTTCTTAGCAGGGAGGGCAGACGGTGGCAGGAGGCCAAGGATAGAACCCTCTCCTCCTGGGGGTTGCTTCATCCTCTTCCCCAGGTACCTCTCTTCCTCTCTCCCTCACCCTGCTTTTACAACATAAGCTGTCTCCGGCTGATTTGGAAAAGGTAAGGTGGTTGCTGAGCTCCTCAAGAGTGGGGAGCTGTGGCGTGTCCTGTTCTTTGCTGTCTGTGTGGCTGAGGGAAGCAGCCACTTGTTTCCACCAACTTCCTGCTCATGTGATCTTATGAGCATTAACTTCTCAAGATTTTCTCTAGTCCTGAAGGTGCACCCTTCTCCCCTCTACTGCTTTCACCCATCAGGCAGCCAGGAGCAGGGCTCTGACCCCCAGGCCCCAAATAGGGCCATGTGCCCTTCCTCACAAGGGACACCTAGGTGCACATGTTTCCAGCAACACTGCTATTAAAGATGTGCAGTCAGCCATGAGGAGTTGCTTGTGGTCACCATGGGCACAGACCCATGTCACCTGGGGCTTCTGCATGGGCACTCCAGGTCCCCGGGGCTCAGACAGCAGAGCTTCCTGTGCAGCCTCCAGCAGCCAGGCCTTCCCAGGTGCCATGCGTATAGGCACAATTTCCAGTGTCCCGGATTAAACAAGAACTTCAGGTTGCATTCAGGCTCTGGGGAAGGAGAGACAAGTGAACACAGGCAGCCAGCTCCAGGCGTCAGCTGTTGGGGTGACACAGGTCCCTTCCAGTCAACAGACAGAAGCAGGTTCTCAAACATCTGGTCACACAGTTACCTCTGGACAAACCTAAGATGACAGCCCAGCCCCCTAATGCATTATAAGATGAGCATTCCCCCTCAACCTCCTTGAAGAGAGGGTCATTAGAGGTAATCAAGTTAAACAAGTCAATGAGGCAGCTCCTTAGATAATACAACCATGTTGTGACACAAAGGGGGTCCTGAGAGACATGTGCAGACCTGTGGGAACATGGACAAAGCCACCCATGGCCCCAGAGAGGACTGGGACAGACAGCCAGCCTCCATAGCCTGTGGAAGAACCAACCCTGGCAGCACCTTGATTTTGGGCTTCTGGTGCCAGTGGCCCAGTCCATGGTACCTGGCATACAGCCCTTTGCCAGGGTCCCATGTGGGACCTGCCCCAGTCTTAGTGCACACTGTGACTTCACCTTAGGTGTGCTGGGGGCATAGTCCATCAGCCATGAACCCATGCAGTCCCCACAAAACAAACCTTCTATAGGAACCAAGGCCTTTCCTTAGCAGCTAATGTCTTTAATTTTAGAATCCATGTGAGTAAACCCAGTTTGTCTGTGGGCAGAGTTCTCCTGAAATGTGACTGGGGCAGGCATTCACTCCGGGAAGGCAGAGTGGAGCTCAGGAAGAGTGAGTGGTCTGGAGGGGCAGCCAGAGGGCCCACCCTGAAGCTCGCTCTGTGCATGAATAGTGTGCACACATGCCATACACAAGTGTGCCTGGGTGGGTCTGGTGTGGACAAGAGGAAGGAGCAACATCTGATTTGACCTGAGCCAAGAAAACCCGAAGTGTGGTCAATGAATGCACCCCATGGTGGCCTCCGGAGCAGATACCACTGGGGTCCATTTTAGCAATGGGAAGGCCTAACAGGGCAGAGCATCCTCTACCCTGGGGGGTACCCTCTACCATTCTCTGCATGCTCAGTGAGGCTGACCTGATGCAGAGTCCAGTTAATGGGCCCCCCACCTTGGGTCCCTGTGCTCACCACCCCAGAGTTCCTCCTGGAGGGCTCCCCTCAGCTCCTTAGGCCGGGCTGGGAATCTGACCCAAGCATCCCCTGCAACAAGTGGCTCTGGGTCTGTGCTGGCTGCAGGAGAGGCCTGAGGTGAGGGTAAGGCAGCAGACATGAAAGAGGGCAGCAGGCCCTGGTGGTGCCCAGTGTGTCCGAGGAGGGTGTGTTCAGTCTGCATGGCAGGGTAGCTGGGTCCCAAGGGGGGATGCTGTGATGGGCTGCAGCTGGGCCTGGAAGGTTCTGTCAGGACAGCATCTGTAGGCACCTGAGGCACCGGGGGGACCCTTGCTCTGGAAAGTCCTTGGGGGTCACCAGGCCTGCAGCCATCTGCCTGAGCCCGCAGGATCTTTGGTTTAGGCCTGGTGGGGCCCTTCTGTCTCCAGTAGGGCAGGTGTTTGTGACCAGGGCTGTGGGCCCAGCGAGGTCCCCTGGGAAGGGACCACAGCCAAGAAGGTGGGCCCTTTGGCCCAGGCTCTCGTGGGCGCCTCCTCAGCTGGTCTACCTGCGTCCTCATGGTGGCCACTTCCTGAGTCAGGCCTGCTAGGGCTGTGGCGAGCTGGTCCAGCTTCTCTGTGAGGGCAGCACTGAGGCTGTGCAGCTCCTGCTGTAGGGGCCTCCCACAGGGGCATGGTGGACGGGGGGAGGTGGCCAGCCAGGCAGGTGAGATGGCTGCTGGAGAATTGCTAGGTGGCTCAGGTGGGTCCCCAGGGAGCAGTCTCCCTTGGGTCCTGGCTGAAACCAGAGAAAGGATAAGGTTAACATTTGTGAGCTGTAAGGACCTGCTCTCTCCCCCTAGGGGCCCCTTGAATTGGTGTTCAGTCTCCTGACTCCACTAAAGCCTGGCTTCTAGAATGGAAGGAAGGCTACTTTAGTTTAAGAAAGTATATTATAAGAGCCCGGGATTTAGTTCAGTGGTGCTACTGCCTGCCTCGCAAATGCAAGGTCCCGAGTTCAATCCCCAGCACCAAAAAAACAAAAGCAAAGAAAGTACATTTTATATATTTTGTGTGTGTGTGTGTGTGTGTGTGTGTGTGTGTGTGTGTATGATGGCAGGGATCAAACTCAGAGCTGTGTGCATGGAAGGCAATCTTTCTACTACTATGCTATATCCCCAGCCCATGGCTTAAGTATATTGACACCCAGCCTTGTTACATCAAAAATGGCTGTTGTCTGCTATTCACATTGACAGGCAGGATCAACCAGACTGGGTTTCCATGGAGATCATGCTTTCCCAGAGACAGTGGTCTCCTACTTTCTAGGAAAAGAATCTGTGAGTTCTCCGTGCCACCCCTGGGATCCAGTGTCTCCAAGAACACCTGTTCTTGGCCTAAGGGGTCACTGAGATGAGCCAGGAGCAGCATCTCTGACAGAACAAGGCCAAGAGTACCAGGGGTACAGCACAGGATTGCAGCTGAGAACACCTGGGCCACTTTGGTTATAAGCAAACCACCGGGCCTGGCCCTCTTGCCTTTCTTTTCCCCATTCACAAGTTATAGATTCAGAGGACTTTAATCTTTAGTTACTTTAAAAAAACCCAACATAGAATCCTTCAGCCTTAATTCCTGGGAGCTGGTGTCAACCCCAGGCAAGTCTTAAGGGACTCTATCAACTACCACCCCTGTCTAATCTGCTCAGCACAGACTCTGGCAGGGGTCCTGGCCAAGGCTCTGCCCTCATCTTTTTGGCACCTCCAAAGCTGTGGATGGAGGACAGTGACAGCCAGGGTGGTCCCAGGACCTGACCCCATCTGGGCTGGTTCTCTAATCAATGCAAGGTTCTGGTCCAGGGCTTCCAATTGATGAAGGACAAGGTTTGGCAATCTTGGGCATCCCAGGGCTTTTACCTACCACAAGCCACTTGTTGAATCCCAGGTGACCCACTGTGTAGATGCCTCACCCCTTGCTTGAGCACAAGGTGTGATATAAAGCCAAAGCTCCGTGAAGGACCTTGGCCAGGTCTCCTGATGCCAGGGTTCCTTTACCTCTGTCCTCTAAAGTCCTCTGAGACCCCCAACTGATTTGGGAATACCTCTCAACTTCTTCCCCTCAAATGCAGACCTGTGCTTTTCTGAAAACCCCAGCAATTTCTGTCATGAAATGTTGCAGAGAAATGGAATTCCGGGCAAGATTTTCTCACTGTGACCTGAACGATGAACTTGGAGGGTTTCTCTGTCTGAGCTGGGACCCAGCTCCTGGCCCATGCAGACGGCAAAGGGAAGGCAACAGCTCACCTGAAACATTAGGTCTTCTGTATCCAGGGTCCAGGTCCCTGGTGTCCTCACTAGCCCTTGGCCCAGGCCTCTTCTCTGGTGGAGGGGTAGGCCAGCGGGGTGCAGCTGCCTCTGCAGAAAGAGCACACAGCACTTGGGAAGGGATATGTATTGTTTTGCAAGAGCTGCTCTGACATAGTCCCCCAAAATCAAACTTTCAGCTTTTAAAAATTAAATGATATGCAAGATGGAGCCCTAGCCGGTCATGGAGCCCAGCCTGCTATGGTAAGGTGAGAACTGTGGTGAGTGCCATCTGCAGGTGACTCAGAGTTCTCTGCAGCCCGGCCTTAGTGATGGGGTCTGCTGGGAGGGGCACAAGTTGGGAGGATCTGATCTCTGGGTCCTGCCCCTACGTAGAATCCTGCAAGGAAGTGCCAGGGACTCGCTTGTCCATGACCAGTTTGCTCTGCCCTTTTCCTCTGGGTTCCAGGGCCATGGGGAACACAGTACAGCCCATTTCACACAAGGCACAGGCCAAGACCTGACAACTGAGCCAGCCTCCCACAACAGTTTCCCTGACCAATACCTGTTCCTCCAGCTGTGGCACTGCTGAGAAGGCCAGGCTGACAGGCACTCTCTGCGCCCACTTCTCTCCTGAGTGACAGGGAGCTGCCTCCCATCTCTTCTGCTTTTCCTGCTGGGAGCAAACTGGGTCACAGCCAAGATGGAAAAGTAAAGAAATCTAGGGAAGAAGTTGATATCTCCAGCCAAAAAAATTTTTTTTTCTGTATCAGGGACTGAACCCAGGGCCTTCAGATTGAGCTCCCTTGAAATAATTTTTTTATTTTGAGATAGTGCCTCACTAAGTCACTAAATTGCCCTTGCTGGGCTTAAACTTGTAATCCTCCTGCCTCAGCCTCTCAGAGGACTGGAATTATAGGCATAGCACTGCCAAGCCCAGCTACTTCCAGCCTTCTTGATGCGACAACCTCAAAGACTTTCTTCTAGTAAGGAAATCTCACTTTTGGTACTTCTTCTGTTGACTGCCAAGATTTAAAGGTGTTACAATAATATTACATGATATTATATTAATATTGCACACAAGCACATATTCACTTGTGTATTTCATATGTGTATATAGTAACTCCATAGAGTGTGCAGCTATCATTAAATAACTTGCCACAATTTTCTCTGCACTGATGCTCACAGGTGGAGGCCACGCCCCCTGCCCAACCACCTGCCTTCTTTGCTCAGCTTCCTTGCAAAGAACTAAAGCATCAGAAACAGAGAGGGCTCTGAACAGAGCCAGGTAGAGTGTTGGACAGGACACACAGAAAGATCTGGAGCCCTGGCACTCTGGGGGACACATGGTTGTCCATCCAGGGTGACCCCAGCTCACCTGCCCTGAGGCTGCTGCAGTACTGGGGCTCTGTTCTCTCAGGGTTGTCCCCAGGGCTGATGTCACTGATGCCTGTGGGGGATCCACTGGGGCCAGAGGCCAGAGGGGCCAGATGCTTATAGCTGGGAAGGTAGCCTCTCTCTGTGTCACAAGCAAGCAGGTGTCAGGATGCTGAGTGGCACCCTGGGAAGAAGCTCACTGTCCCACCCAGCAGGCTCACCCTGGAGGGGTGGCTGCCAGAGCTCGGGCTCTGGCCTTGTGTCCTCTCCATCAGAGCTGCAGAGGCTGGAGCTGGAGCTGGGCTCTGGGCCGGGGCTGGGGCCAGCCAGGCAGGTGAACCGCAAGGGCCTGGCAGGCAGGATCCCCTGCAGAGAGCTCTCCAGGCAGTGCAGTGGGGAGGGCCTGGAGACCAGCCCTAGACAAACAACAGAGAGCTGCTGCCCATCATCCCTGGCAGACAGGAGGACTTTTCAGCTAGGCCCACAGCCCACATGGGCTCTGATGCTCCCTGAACATCTCACTCACTGGTTGTGAGAGGTACAGTGAAGGAAAGCCAGAGCCAAGTCCTGTTTCATCTGGAAAGTCAGCCAGGGAACTTCCAGAAGCTATTATTGGTCAGATCCCCTGAGTCTAACAATGGGCAGGCCCTCCTCCACAGCAGGCCACAGTCTCTTCATACAGTACCACACAGGGGCCATCAGTTTGGTGAGTGCCAGTGGGTCACACTGATAAGCTGTCATCCTCTCACGTTGTGCAAACTTGGGGGTCCTGCTGGGGAGCTATCTAGGGGCCTGCAGAGGGCAGAGGGGCCCCTCCCTGCAGCAGCATCTCCTGAGGAACCCAACAGCTAACAGAACAATGACCTTCTACCCCTCTCTATCAGCACGTGTGTTACTTCATCTTCTTTTATGTACACGGAAGCTTCTGGCTGGCCCTGGCTCCCATATTCCAGGGACAGGATGTGAGACAGGGAAGGAACAGGAATAGACAGAGAAGGGAAATCTACTTTCTTCTCAACAACTTTAACTGCATGGAGAATATGCCAGTAAATATTGAGGGTAGTTTACCATCTTGCGGCCACCTCCACAGTCCTGGCCTAGTGGCTCCCTGGTCTTTGAGCCCTTGCTGGTAGCAGGCAGGGACACAGCTGGAAGGAATGGCCTGTGGGCTGGCTAGGCGGGGGCTCTGGTTGGGCACCTCTCTTCCACCCTGTCCAAGGTGGAATGGTTCACAGGCCTCACTTCTCAATCCTGTTTCAAGGAAAAACCAAGAGGACTGTCAATCCTATGGGGCCCTGTGCTGCTATATAAGGAGTTTCACCACAGTTGGGTTCTCAGGCATGGGGTTTCAGATATGGGAATCTGCCAGGTGCCTCTACACCATCTCCTCAGCTAATGTGGGTCTGCCCTGCAGGCTGCTGGGGGCAGCATGGGTGGCAGCATGGCGGCTTACAGGCCCACTCTTAGGGACCTGCAGCGCCACCAAGTTACCTTCCTTGTATGCCATCCAGTTCCTGGACTCTGCTCTCCTCAGCCCCCTGTCTTCTGCAGAGAAGCAGGGCTGGGCAGGCTGCAGCCTGGGCATGGGGATCTCCCTGAGGCAGTTCTCCAGGCCCTGGAGTGGGGAGCTCCCTGGTGGGCACCCTGTGAAAAATCAAACATTCTCAGTCTTGGCTGTGTGTGGCTCAGGCTCAAACCCAGGGGTCGCCTTTTCTGCCATGTGTCATGACAGTTCAGGGACTTTGCAGACACCTGGCCCTAAATACTTGTCAGCCCTGGCTCTGGGGGTGGCCCTGCAATGCTACCCCAGAGGAAGCCTGGTGTGGGGGGGCATGGTGAAGGATGACACTACCTGGTGGCCCTAAGAATCAAATGTGGGTGAGGCTTCCTCTGCCTCTTGAAAGGAAGACAATTTGAGCTTCCTTGCTGCCATGGAAGGCCAGCTCTCATGTAGTTTCAGTTAAGAAAGAAGCAAACACACTATAAAAATCGTATTCCTAGTGACAGCCGGGCAGGCAACAGGAATTGACATCCTGAGCAGAAGCCCGGAGGGAGAGACTGAGGGAGGGCTGGAGGGGCTAGGCAGGAGCTACCACAGGATGGCCATCGGGCTCGGGTCTCCTGCAAGTCTATCAGCAGAGGGGACTGGAAGAGAAGCATAGCTCAGAACACTGAACCCTGTCACAAAGAAAGAAGTGGTGCTTGGGGTCCAAGAATGTTAAGATGACACATAGAAAGAGAGCAAAGACAAGAGACAAGGTGAGGGCATGGATGCCACTGTCTGTGTGAGAAGACAGATGTCTGGAAGGTGGGTGAACCCACAGCAGGGCTGGCATGGGGACACGAAGGGGTGTGGAGATGGAGGAAGACCCCACTTTTCCCACAGAACCTTTCACAGCTTTTAGACAGAACAATGTGATATTACCTATTAAAAACTAAACATTAAAAGAGAAGACTGCTGTGTTTTAGGGGAGAAGCTCCCATCCAAGGAACTCCCCCTTGGTAGGACTCAGGAGGGAGAAGGATCTAGGATGGCTCTAGGGACCATACTGGCCCAGCCCTGGGCCCTGGTCCAGGCCCTTCACCTAACAACAGATGTGATCAGGACACAGACACAAGCAGACAAACCACATGTCCACCTGTGGGATAAGACTGACCAAGAGTATCTGGACTATTCAGATAGGAAAAAGCCAAAAGGGGGCTCTGGAGAGCCAGCACCCCCACGGTCACCAATCCCAGGAATGACTCCCCTCAAGGTTCCAGGGAGGCACAGTCACCAAGTACCCCCCTGAAGGTATCTTACAGGGACCTCACATTTTCCCTGGGTGGAGGAAGGAAGGAGGACATGTTTAATGCACAGATTTTTTTTTTGGTACCGGGGATTGAACTCAGGTCCTTGTGCTTGCAAGGCAGGCCACTGAACCGCTGAGCTAAATCCCCATCATTGCACAGATTTTTTTAAAGAGACCTCAGACACTTTCCGGCCCCTGCTGAGCCAAGTCACTAAAATTGACCCTGCCCCCACAATCCTACCCCACCCAAAACAAGTCCCAAGTCTGCTTCTGCTTCAGAATTCCCAGCTTTGCTTCTGGTACTGGGCACAGGGCCCAGAGGTAATGGTGGGCAAGAACCTCCTGCTGGTTCCCAGAGAGACTCCACCTGTGGGCCAGCTCACCTTTGCCAGGATGCTGGTTCCCTCCAGGGCTTCCAAAGTCCATGACCCCATCAGTACTGCTGGCTGAGGAGAAGCTGGTGGGGGTCCCTCGGGGAGCTGAGGATTGGCTGGGACCCAGAGGTACAAGTGGCTCCCTGGTGGCATCTGAGGAGAGCAGCACAGTGACAACAGTCTGCTGGGGAAGAGATCCCTGGAGAGACGGCACCAGGAGACCCTGTCCCAAAGGATCTGCCTCCAGCATTTCCCACAGTGCTGAGGAAAAGCCTAGATCCCACAGCTTGTCTGGGGACTATGGAGAAGAGCTCAAAGAGGACGTGACAGAAGATTGTGGGGAGCTGCTTGGGGAAGCAGAGGCTTGGGGAAGAGGCAGGCAGGTCCCAGAGGGCCAGGAGGTGACATGGCAGTGTCCTCAGCATCTCCTGCTACTGCATGCACAGGGACAAAGGCTACCCCAGGCCCATGGACACATCTACCTTCACTGTGTGATCCTTGGGGCTGAGGCTCAGGCCTCTGAGACCCAGCATCTCCAGGGTGGGGGGTCTGAGACCAAGAGGTGGCTGGTAGCTGGGGAGGTGACAATGCACTTGTGGGAATGCCCTTCAGACAAGCCTCCAGGGCTTTCAGGGGTGAGCGCGACGGCCTGCAGGCTGTGAGAGGGGAGAGCACCCTGGTATCTTCTCTCACAGGTCCCTGGTCCTGCCTTCTGCAGAGGTGACAAGTCCTACTCCCAGGTCTGGGGACCTGCCAGGCAGGAAATACCCCTGTGGGGGACTTGGGATTTATTTGTTCACCCAGTGGGGATGAAGAGAGGCAGGTGCTCTACTTGTGGGCTGAGGGCCCTGGCCTGGGTCCCATGTGAGATGGGGCAGACAAACCAGGCCTCACCTTGAGCTTCAGGGCCCCAGCCTGGCACATGGACCCCTCTGGTGTCTCTGGTGGCAGAGTGCCCCTGCCTGCTGAGCTGGCAGGATGTAGGCACTGGAGGGCTCTGGGTCCAGCTGTCCTCCACCTTCACCACGGTGAGTGTGCCACCAGCTCCAGGACCAGATGGGTGAGGCAGGGTCTGGAGGCGTCCGGACCCTGTGGGAAGGTGATGGCTAGGAGGCCCATGCTGCAAGCCAGGGCTCTCTCTGGTCCCACGAGGCTGCAGAAGGTTAGCAGGGGCTTCAAGGGCCCTCTGCTGCCCTGGCAGTCATGGTTCTGGGGATGGTCACTTCTCAATAACCAGTGCAGATCCAAATTATGTCCCTTCCACCCAGGGGCCTGTGGTGCTCTGGAGCACTGGTCTAAGAGGTGTGCAGTAAGCTGTCCAAGGTCAGCACCTTCGTGGCTGGCATGCCTGGCCTACTCCACCCTGTCCAGGCTGTGTTCCAAGCTCACATGTACAAAGGAGCAGGCACGCATGGAAATGTGGACCCAGCCCATACACAGATGGGAACCCCAAATCACAGTCACGCCACCTAGCCCGAACACACAGATGGGAACCCTGAATCACAACTGTGGCCCGAGGGTGTGCTAAACTACAACTTCACCTTGCATTACTGGTCTCTCTCTCTCCCCGTTATCCCTTTCTTTTTTCTTGAACTTTCACCCTTGTTAAGGACTGATTTGGAAAATTCTCAAGCACTGTTCAAACACCTCCTATGACTCTAGGTACACAGTGATGATCCCTGCATGTGGCTCCTGTGACTGGCATACTGACAGGAGCTTGTATGTCTTACTGTGGAAGGTCACCCATGGCCCAGATAATGTGTCACATCTGGGGTTCTTCTAGTCCAGCCTTTACCTCCAGAATTCTTCTTCAAGGGCCCTGGATCCTCCTGCACCCGTGGATGCCCTGCTCTTGAGGGGCTGGGATGCCTGTCCTGGGTCTCTGGAATCTCCTTCAGACAGTTCAGCAGACCCTGGAGGGGACAGTCCCCTGAAGCAGCCTCAGTCTTCACTAAGAGAAAAAGGCAAGGGTTTTCACCTGAGCCCAGCATCAGTCCTCCTAACTGATGTCAGACAAGGGACCATTCTAGTTGCAGGAAGAAGGCTGCAGGGCTAGAAATTGGAAATATGGATATCTCCATGCCTTAGCCTTGTACAGGCCACTATCATCTTGGTGCCTAGTGACCACACACGTCCCAGAACTGGGTGGATGAGGGGAGGGGTGCAGGAGAGTGCACCAAAAAGTAAGTGTGGGGTTTCCCACAGGACAAAATGAAGCCACTAAGACAGCTCCCTGGTCCTGAGCCACAGAGCTCTCCTAGAAAGGGCAGGCTGACAGATATAGACATACACATGTGTAAGGGGACTCTCAAGGGGGACAGCTCCCCTGCACAGATGCTAAAACCAGGCCCAAAGCTTCAGTGGCCTGTAAGTATGTCACTTGTGCTCCACCTCACTCCCCAGACCTCTAGGTCCACTCTAAGCACCTCACCGAGGGACCACAGGAAGTAACAGGTGAGTGCCATGGTATTAGCAAGAGTGAAGAGCAAGGAGGACACCGGGCAATCTGCTACTGAGTTTTCTTTTTCTCTAGCCAAACACTGTCCTTGAAGAGCCACCTGGCTATAGACACATGACACCTGGGCTATAGGATGGGCCTGAGTGGCAAATCAAGACGGTGTGCAGATGAGAAACAGTTACAGACTAGTAGCACAAGCTTTCCAGGGACTCACCTGGCCAGGGAGGGCTTCCTGGCCCCAAGTCCATTCTGGTCTGCCTCAAAGTATCCAGGCTTGGGAGAGGAGGCACTGAGCCCAGGACTGCATCGGAGTGCTGGGGCCCAGGCACCAGGATTTCTGTCAGGCAGTTGATGAGGCCTTGCAAGGGGCTGGTCCCGGTAGAGACTCCTGCATGTGCACACAAGGTCGCTGAGGTCAGTGTGGTTCTGACAGGGCAGCGGAACACTTTTAACAGCCCACCTATCTGACAGACAGGCCTGCCTGTCAAGATAGGAGAGTGACACAACCTCACATGATCTATACATTTTCCCCTCCCATTTACAGCCCCACTCAGCTCCAGGGCTGCTCCAGTCTCAGGAAAGCCACTTCTCACCTGTCCTTCTCTCCTGTCTTTGGTGGCTCTTCCTCTGGCCAGGGCTGTTGGCAGGAGTGTTCAGCTCTGCATTTGTGGTTCCTGGGCCTTCCTTCCTTGTGGGCTGTGGTCTGTCCATAGTTTCTGTTGGAAAACACAGGAATGCCCAGGCTCTGGACTCTGGTATCACCCCACATCTGGTCCCCATTAGACAGATCTCCCAAGCTCCCCAACTCCCTAGGGGCAGCTAACTCTTAGAACCCTGGATTTGTGTGGCTCACTTTGGAGGACTTGTTCAGGTGGGCTTTCCCTCTTTCCTTCCACTTTAACTGGAAATACCGGGCCTGGTATTCACCCTGAATAACCCTGAGCCCTTCCTCCTGCTCCCAGCCTCCAAATCTGGTACAAGTGGTGCCTGTAGTCCCAACACATAAGCCACAGTCCTATTTCTCAATTAGGGCATGTGGAACCCCAGAGCAAAGTGATCAGATGACACTTAAAACCACAGGCTAAGTGGAGTATGTTTCTGGGAGTGCCAATTTTATTTCATATGACTACCAACTATATTTAATAAGAACAGATATTCAGGGATGGCAAGGTAACTCAGTAGTAGAGTACTAGCCTAGCACCTGAGAGGCCCTGGATTCAATCCCCAGCACCAAACAGAAAACAGAAACAAAAGCAACAGCAGTAACAAAAACCCCTGAGATATTTAGACAAATGCAAAATTTGCAAGAAGTTTAAAGATGAAATGAGACCCCAGAGAAATTCTACTGGCTACCCTTGCCTACTCTGCTCCTAGTGTTGCTTTGATGAAAGTTGAGAATCAGACCAGGTGCGCACAGCGAAGCTACCTACTGGCCTGAGACTCCCTGGCCTGTGCACATAGTCCTCAGTGATCAGGGCTAAGAGAGAGGCCGCCTGGGGACTGTCATGCCTCCTCTTTGGTCTGCAGACCAGAGGGTGTTGTCTCACTCCCTGGGGACCTCGGTCTCATTTAGCAAAAGAGGAAATGTAGTCCTAGAGAAAATGAAGAGGGCACCCTGATTCCATGCTGGTTGGCCCCATCCCTGCGAGGTCAGACTCACTGATGGGGAAGGGGCTTCCCTGGCCTCCATCTCCAGGTGGACCACTACAGGATGAGCTGCTGGTGGGTGTGGTGGCCATGCTGGGCTGGCTCATGGGGCTGTCTGGAAGGTAGGTGAACAGGCCTTGGAGAGGATAAGTGCCCACTGCCACAGCTGCTGTTGAGAGGAGGAAGGAGATGCGAAATGGTAAGATGCCCTGACATGATCACAATTCCAGTTCTTGCTGTGTTCAGCTAACAATAACCAGGATGTCTGTGACCTTAGCACTGCCATCGCTGAGCTGTGAAATCTAGATTTACAGCCACACTTGTATCCTGGTGGAACAGGAAGCAGCACTCTAAAGTCACATCCCAGCAACCCTGTGCCCTCCCTCTATCTCTGCCCTACTTTCTACTTTATACACCATCAGCTGAGTGGGGTCTGGGTGTGGGACCCAAGCTGAGGCAGCAGAGGTAGGAGAAGACAGACAGCTGGAGAGGCAGGGAGGACATTGGGCTGCTGGGGGGGGGTCTCTACCTGCCACTGGGACAAGACACAGCTTCCTCCCTAACTCATCTGCACAACCAGGGACAAACACACTGCTCACCTACCATGTGAGGCACAAGGTGACAGAGTTGGACCACCACAGGGAGGCTGGATGCACAAAGAATCCACGAGGAGCAAGGACAAGCTGCTCTCATATCCACTGGGCTAGGAGTTTGCAGGGCAGGCACACAGCCTAGCCACCAGGAAAATACTGCCTTGCTGTGTGTGCCTGGGAGCTAGTGAGCACACTGCACACAGTGCTGTGGACTTCATCTTGATATTGTGGCATTCCGAGAGGCTCCAGAGGCTGCCCTCAATGTCTGACCTACCTTCTAGGCTTGCTCTGTCCCCATCCAGGCTGGCTGTCCCACTCTCAGGGCTGTCCTCGGTGCCCTTGATTTCCCCGAACAAGAATTCTGGAATCTCCTTCACCAGCTGCACCAGGGCAGTGAGGTGCAGGCTGTGCTGTGGCTGTCCTCCTGCAAAGGGCCACCATTAGACCTGTGCCCCACATCAGTGCAGCACACACACTTCTGTGCATGTTGTCACTTCCAGCCCCTTAGGGAACCCTCATAACCAATGGAGGAGCGGCCAAAGTCAGACTGACATCCAGGGAGGAACAGAAGACCTGGGCTCAGGTCAGGCAATCTGCCCAAGGGCACAGCCAGGACGGGTGGGCAGTGGGTAAAAGGGTTCTTCCTTTTCTTTTTCTCTTTGATTTTTTATTAACACATGTTTGCAATACATAATATTTACATTCATCTTGGAGGTAGGTACTTATACTTACCATATCTTAGTTCAGTTTATTCTCCTTCCTCTCCTCCCCCTCCTTTTATCCTCCTGTCTTTGGATCCCCTTCCCATTTGCAAAAGATTTATTATCTCCCTGTTTTGTTGTCTTTTTAAAAATTTAGTTGTAATTTGAGCTTCTCATATACGAGAGGTTATGAGATATTTGAGATTATATGTCTATTTCACTTAACATTTAAAGAGCTAGAAACCACTATCCTAAGATTCACATGGATCCAGAAAAGACCCAGTAGAGCAAAAGCAATCCTGGGGTCAACAAAAAGAAAGCAGGAGGCATTGTAATTCAAAACTTCAGGTTATACTACAGAGCTACAGTGGTTAAAAACAGTATAGTACAGATACAAAAACAGACATGCAGATGGATAGAAACAGAATAGAGGACACAGAAACAACTCCAAGCACTTTCAGCTATCTGATTATTGACAACGGGGCCAAAAACATATGCTGGTGGAAACATAGCCTTTTTAGCTAATGGTGCTGGGAAAAGTGGTTACATGCATACAGACTGAATTTAGACTATCTCTTACCATGCACCAAAATAAGATCAAAATGGATCAAAGACACAGATATGAAGACAGAAACAATCTTCTAGAAGATGAAACAGGTAACACTTCTTTTTTTGTTTTGTTTTTGGTACTGGGGATTGAACTCTGCTCCTTGTGCCTGCGAGGCAGGCAGTGGAAACACTGGGCTAAATCCCCAGCCCAAAATAGGTAACACTTCTTTCTTAAGGGGAACATCAAGGAGAGCCCTTCGGGCCTCGCCCAGCTTGGACCACATCACCATATGACGAGCTGCAGGCTGGCCCCAAAGTGGGGACTAGAGTAAAGCTTCCATGCGGGGGTGGAGGGGGACCTGAGGTGGGAAAGTTCCCCAGGGTGACCCCAGGTTTCTTCACAGCACTTTTCCATGAAACAGATAGTGTAGATAATGAGTCAGGTCCCCAGTCCAGGGAGTGAAGGGGAGAGTCAGGGAAAGGCAGGCCTGAGCTCATAGGGATCACAGTGTCACCTGAGGGCTGAGGACCCTGAGTGGGAGTGGTACCCCAAGTCTGCCAGTAAGACTCACCCTGGGGGCTTCCCCGTGCAGGAGGCTCCTGCCCCTCCTCAGTGTAGCTCCCTGCCCCTGCTTTTCCTCTCGGTTCTGCGGGTGACAGGAAAGCAGAGAGGGGGAGCAGCTCGGCTGTTCCTAGGAAGACAAGAGGGGACACTCACCCTGGCAACAGAGTGGCCTCCCCTTCCCATGGTCACACAGTGGCTGGATGCACACCTGTGTTTCCATGCTTGCTTGCATAGCCACCAAAATTCAAAGGACCACAGAGGCCACTGTGCACCCCACAGAATGGCACCCAGAACCCCATCACAGCACACAGAAACAGCGAGGGCATGGGAGCAAAAGTGAGCCTGAGGCCAGCCCAAGCTCTTGGAACATCCCAAAATTGTCCATCTCCCAAATGAGAAGACCAAGGTCCAGTGGAACCTGAGGGCCCATGGACTCAGGGAGCCGCAGCCCTTACCCACAGAGACCAGTGTCTCATAGTTCTCCCGCATCACATCCCGGTAGAACTCCCGCTGCCCCTCCTCCAGAAGCCGCCACTCCTCTTCAGAGAACCGCACAGCCAAGTCTTTGAAGCTGATGGGCACCTGTGGGCACAGTCTCTGTGAGTTGGCAGGTTCCATGCCAGCAAGGCCTGGCCCAGCTACCCCTTAGCTCAGGGACCTGCCCATACCTTCCAGTGGAAGCTGAGAACAGAAGGAGAGAGGCAGGGGTGGGGCCTAACACCAGGAACATCAGGGACAGGGCTAAGTGCAGTGCCAGTGGCCAGCTAGGTCCCCAGCAAGACCTACTGAAGCCCTAGTTCCCACATCTGTGGACATGACTTTATTTATAAACAGGCTCACTACAGTGAAACTAGCTAAGATCAAGTCACTTTAAGTCAGAAGACTAATGACCTCATAAGAAGGGACACAGAGATAAGACACATAGGGAGAAGAGGCCATGTGAAGATGAGGGTAGACATAAGCTAAGAAGTACTTGCAGCCACCATAAGCTGAAGAGGCAAGGAGGACCCTGCTCTAGAGCCTTCACAGGGAGCACAGCCCCGCTGACATCTTGAGTTCAGGGTTCTGGCTTCTGGCTTCTAGAACTAGGGAGAGAAGAAAGCTTTGCTGCTCTAAGCCCCCAGCTTGTGGTCCTAAGTCATGGTGATTCCAGAAAACTAATATGACAGTAGTATGCCCCATGGCCCAGCCAGCCCTAAATGTACCACATTAGATTAGACTAATTTTCATTCATAAGCACACTTCCCTGTGAATGTGCAAGGCCCCAGGCCCCAGCACTCCAGCATTAAAAAAGGAGTTTAAAAATAAAACCAACTACAAGGGCTACCATGGTTGACCCAGATTGGATGGGTTCTGCATTTTCAATTTTGGAGTGTTTGCATATACAAATAACATATCCTGGAGTTGGCACCCATCTATACATGAAATTTATTTGTTTCATATGCACCCCATACACATAACTGGAAGATTAGTTTAGATAAGATTTTGAATTTATTTTAAGCAAGACCTACCAGGTTTGGGGTTTTCCATACATGGTATTGTGGGTGCTCGAAAGTTTTGGATTTTGGAGCATTTCAGATTTCATGTGTTTGGATCAGGGATGACCAATAGTGTAGTGCTGAACACTACACCTTTTAGCAGAGATGCTAGAATAGTCTGGATCAAACTCATAAAATGTTTACATTGCTCCTCTAAGTACCACTCAGAGTGGGGCAGGGGGTGGGAGATAAAAACCTCATGCAACTTTGCCTTCTTCCCTTGGGCTGGAAACTGTGTCATTCTTTGCTTTTTCTAGAGAAGTACTCAGAAAATCCAGCATCTCTGGAGAGCTTCACACTCTACACTCAAATTTCTATACTCATTCTGCTACCTTGTGGCTCTTTAGACAAAAGCAATATTTCTGTTGCTTGAAAAAGTCATTCATTGACTTTAGGACAGCCATGAAACCCCAGAAAATGATCAGCATCTGATAGGCAGATGAATTTAAAATTATGGAAAAATTAATCTCAGGCAAATGAAGCAAACAGAATGTAAATGATTGGAAGGTTTCTTCTGATTTAGAAACAAATATTGACCATTTGTGGGAAAGAATTATTAAAGAAAATGACACTCCTAATAAAGCAATGAAGATGATCTACTGACTTGCTTCATCTACTCAAATCAGTGATTTTAAAAACTGTCACTGAGCTGGGCATGGTGCCACACTCTTGTAATCCCAGCACTTGGGAGGCTGAGGCAGGAGAATCCCCATGAGTTTCAGGCTAGCCTGGAGCTACACAGTGAGTTCAAGGCCAGCTGAACTACATAGTGAGACTTTGTCTCAAAAAACAAAACAAGAAAAATAACCTGTCACTGCTACTAACTGGTGGCCTTGTCACCTACCCACTGCCACACTCATCCTGCCATCCTGACAGCTGAGAGCCAGCACCACACAGTCACACCCTGAAACCTCTGCTAGCCTTTGAACCTGTCAAAATGGGTTCCAACCATGGATCTGGCTCTGGACAGCTTCTGGTGACTGCCTGCCTATTGTCCAGCAGTCCAGAAGCCCAAAGGTGACTGGAGGCTGTGGCCTTTGCCTCCCCAGCTCACTCTGACCCTGGCCACTTGTACAGCCCAACGGGCAGCCCACAGCTTCTCCTGAGCCAACCTGTGGGTCTGGCCCACCATAGTCACTCCTCAGGAACATCTCAGATACCTCCAAGATCTTTCTTAGAAAACAACTGACATTTACTCCTGGCCTTCTGGACTAGGGTCTGTGCCACAGAGCTAAGAGGACAGGACAGATGCTGCTGCCCTTAGAAAGGTTGTGGGCAGGTGGGCCCTTGCAGGCATCTGGGAATATTAGAAGGGTCCCCAGCATTCCTGGTGGCTGGACTGTGCTAAGAGTACATTTTGTGCTAAATCCCTGCTTTTCTTCTGGGAGCATAAAATTTGCATAGGCAGTGGGTGCCTGTGTGACCAGCCCCAGTGACAATCCCAACTGCTGTCTCTAGTGAGCTTCTCCAGCATCCAACATGTCACATGGGTCCTCACAACTTCATGCTGGAAGAACTACATCCTGTGACTACACCTGAGGGGACCTCTGGGAAGCTGGTCCCCTCATATCCCCAGACTGTGCCTCATGCACTTCTGCCATATGCTGTTTGGTCTGTCTGTTGACTATCTGCTCAGTCTGAGTCCTCTTGTGAGTCCCTGAGCCTTGGATGGTCTTGGGGACCCTGACAGAGGACCCCATGACTCTTGGCCACTATCCCCATGCTGTTTGGGCAGAACTGTGAGAACTAAGCCTCTGTTCTTTATAAATTACACAGTCTCAGATATCCTGATGCAATAGCACAAAACACAAGATAGGTGGCCAAAGACTTAATCAGCCACCATATATTTCTTGTTTGAATGTTAGCTCTAGTTTTCCTGTGAACAACTAGCTTATTCTGGATCTTGGTCTATTTTCTGTTTCTACAACAGAATGCCTGAGAATGGGTGATTTATTCAGAAAATAAATTTCTTACAATTCTGGAGGCTGAGAAGTCAGTCCAACATTAAGGGGCCACAGCCATGGAAGGCCTTCTCGTGCATACTAAGATGTGACATGGTGAGCCAGGACAAGCCATCCAGAGCTCACTTTTTATAAAAAGCCACTCCCTCCATAACTATAATCAATTAGTCTATCAGTGGAGTAATCCATTCATGAGGATAAAGTCTTCATGACCCACATGCTTCCCAAGGTTTCCACCTCTCAAATAGCTTTAGCATACAATGTTGGAAGCAAGTTTCCAACATGGGAAATTTGGAAGCCACTCTTAAATCACAGCATTCTAATCTGTCTTTTGTGAGTTTGGGTAATGTAAGTTGATTCTCCCAGAAACCATAACCTAGGGATGCAATGAACTTATCAGTTATGGGACTTCAGCTGAAGTACTTAAGCACTCGGGCCTTAGCAAATTCACCTGTGATATTGGGATCATGGTAAGCTACCTCCCAGGGAGGTTGCAAAGAGAAAAGGAATTAATACAGGAAAAATGCTGGGAATAAATGCTGGGATTTTTAGTGCCATGACTGGTGTTACTGCAGCTGGATCTGTCTGCCTCTTATCTGCCCGCAGGGTACACCGTGGCTCCTTGGGCTCTTTCACACACTGCTACCTCCAAGGCCTTTTTATTTCCAGGCTATAGAGATCTGGCTCTTTTAGACATTTGCTTGTTTTGTTGTTGTTGCTGTTGTTGTTGTTGTTTTGTTTTTGTTTGATCCTGGGGATCGAATTTGGGTCTTTTAGACATTTGTAAGCAATGCTTTTCAGGCCTCTTAACCATCCTGGCCTCAGGATGAACTCTTTGGTGACCAAGTTTTCAAAAACCACAAATGGGAACTTGCTGTGGCCAGGATTGGTGCTTTTGTCAGAGGCTTCCCAGTGTTTAGATAAAGTGAATAATGGTGTGCATGTAATGTGAGGGTGTGAGTAAGTGAAAGTGCAAATGCTCATCTGCAGGTGGTTCACCACCTGTACCCTCTGCCCCCTTCGGACCCAACTTCAGCCTCCTCTTCAAACAGAGAGAAGCTTTAGGGGCTGACCTAGAACTGCCAGAGCTGGGAAGGCTGCTCCAACATCCCTTCTATCAAGTCATGAACCCCATATGAAACCACAGGTTCAGTGCCCACAGGACCTATCTCTCACTGTCCTTACCAGTCTAGACCATCCTCCTGGCTCACCTTAGGCTCCTAGATCACACCCAGCACCACAATGCCGGTATCCCCCGCTGCAGGCTGTGCTTATACATCCCTGGGTTTCTGGGAGTCATGCTGAGAGGGAAGATGCAGGCCCTCTCTGTCCTTCTCCACCTGGCTGTGACCTTGCACTCCCCAGGTCACTCTTAACCACCTTCCCCAAGAAGATACTATGGTGAGGAAGCATCCTTCCCTGAATATCAGTGGTCCAGTCCCTCATTTCCCAGGAGGACCAGAATGGGATCAGTGGACATGTATGAACAAGGGTGTCCTTGGGCTACCTGTCAGCCAGCGCTGCAAAGGGGACCGCCCTTAACCTGGATCATGCCATTTTCCTGGCTCCTTCCATCTATGATGCTTTTGGAGCACATGTGATGACAAGATCCTGGCACAATGCGTGCTCTATCTGGCCAAACTTCTGGCCATCAGGCTGCCTGAGTCTTGTCAAAGCTCCTAAGCCACCATAGTTGCACACCTGGCTCCAGATACCCACTAGAAGACAATGCAGCAACTCCCCACTGGCATCTTCACAGCCCATAGCCAAGTCCAAACTATGCCCCAGTGACAGCTGATGGAGGTTTCCCTACAACCCTCGGGTCTACACCCCTTAGCAGGATTAAACTTGGAACCTGTTCTGTCTTCTTCGTCCCGACTCCCGGGGATCCAGGATCTTAACAAAAATAAAAGTATCAGACTTAGCCATTCTCCCGCGGCCTCCGTAGCCATCACTATCACTCAGGATAATTTGTTAAGGAAAGAGGCCACGCAGAGCAAAGGTAGCGCTTAAGCCTATGAACAAGTTTCCTCCGACCGAGAGAAGGTAGAGGTCCGTGCGTCCTGGGGAACGGGCAGTGGGGGAAGGGAGGAGGAGGACCCAGACTTCTCCAG